CTAAAACTTTTGCGAGATCCCGAGTTTGTTTTGCGAGATCTCTCAAAAGTCCGTCTTAATTTTATTTTTCTCCCATGTCCCTTGCGGGGCTCCGTATCTTACAGAGAATTGTCCAAAAACAGAGAAAATATCCAGACATCTTCTGATGACTGCTTCCAGTCACGCCATGTCACAAAGTTTAAATCATCTTAAATTGGTTTCTTGAACATGAGAGTGAGTTCACTGTTCTCTACAGTCAGCAGATCTCAATTCAATAGAGCTCTGGTGGCATGTGGTGGAATGAGAGATTCAAATCCTGGAGGTGCAGCCGACTAATCTGCGGCATCTGTGCAATGCTATCATTATAATGTGGACCAAACAGCCCTGAGGAATGTTTCCAACACTTTATTGGATCTCTGCCATGAAAAAAGCGCGACTCAAAAAACAATCTGCCTTTTGTTTGCACGTGATGAGATAATGGGAGAGGATCATGAGGGTAGAGCACGTGTACACAAACCTGGAAACATCAAAGGGCTACAGTAGGTGTGTGCCGGTAAACAGACACTAGCTCCCATAGAAACCACTGCTATGTTTATGGTGTTGTGTGAAGTTGGGAAATCTCATTTAACATGAGTAACGGCAGTAATGACATATAGGTAGAGAACAGCTTTGTGTTGCTGTAGGAAAACCTCTGTGTGGTAAGTGGATGATTAACTGTTTCCATAAACCGTTTAATGAGCCCTTTAGCAAAACATCAAACCAACAGCTGAGATTATAAAGTGAAGCAAATTAGAACAAATGATGGAGATTTTGTTCTCGAGGGAGTCTGATAGATTTGTGAATGTAAATAAGACAGGGGCATAGACAAACATTATCCTTCTTTATGGTGTGTGGAGATGTTTTGTACGGAGCCCCGCAAGGGACATGGGAGAAAAAAAAAATTACGACGGATTTTTGCGAGATCTCGCAAAACAAACTCGGGATCTCGCAAAATTTTTGCGAAAAGTTCATCGTAATGTTTTTTTCTCCCCTGTCCCTTGTGGGGCTCCGTAGTTTTGTTTGAAGTCCCAAGGTGACAAAAAGTATTGTGAAGCTATCTGTGCTGATGTACAAGTAAAAGTAACGAAGTGTTCCCTGCTAACAGAGTTTTTCTTTAAACCAAATGTATTTGTGGGTTTCTCGTGTTAGATCAGAAAAGTCAAGATTCATTTTTCTTTCTTACTCTATATCTCGCCCAAAGTATTTGCTCAACTGCCTTCACACATATGAACTCGAGTCACATCCCGTTCTGGATTCATAAGGTGTAATAGCCCCACGCTTTACA